GTAAGTGCGTGCACGGGGCCGGCGTAGGGGGCATCATAGAGGAGGGTGCAGTTGTTCTCTGGCCTCGCTTGATCCGAAACCACGCGCCTCTGCCTCCTCTGTTTGTCTCGTCAGCATCTTTCTCTTGAAGGGAAGAATAGAGGACGTAAAGGCGCGGGGGTTTCGGATCAAGAGAGGACAGAGGAGCGGAAAACCGGACGGTCCTCTGCGCCGGCCGCCCTGCGTCACGGTGTCGCCATGCAAAGGCATTTGGTCTTCCGAGGGCCCGTCCGGTCTCCCTGTCTATGGATCTGTTTTGCCCCCTGCTCAGGCTGGTGTGGACGGGGGGCATCGCCATCCCCTGTAGCAGGGACACGGTCCCTCCCCAGGATCTCTTGAGGGTATCTTGACAGTGTTTGGGGATCTCTTGAGGGTATCTTGTTTGGGACTCTCATGAAAGTATCTTGAGGACGTTTGGGGATCTCAAGGGTATCTTGATGGTGTTTGGGGATCTCTTGAGGGTATCTTGTTTGGGACTCTCATGAAAGTATCTTGAGGACGTTTGGGGATCTCAAGGGTATCTTGATGGCGTTTGGGGATCTCTTGAGGGTATCTTGAGGACGTTTGGGGATCTCAAGGGTATCTTGATGGCGTTTGGGGATCTCTTGAGGGTATCTTGAGGACGTTTGGGGATCTCGAGGGTATCTTGAAGGCATTTGGGGATCTCTTGAGGGTATCTTGAGGACGTTTTGTACAAGCAGGACGTCGGCTGCCGTGGTTGCCCAGCTTTCCCCGTGGCAGGTTGGGGTGGGAGGTCTGTGCTGGGTCAGGGCTGCCGGTAGTCTGATGTAGAGTTTAGGCGATGTTTTGTATGGGCTGACTTGGACAGGGATGTTCCTGCCCCAAGCAGGGGTTGCACCAGATCAGTGGTGCTCAACCTTTTTGGCCACCAGGCCAGATGGACAGCACCCAATTGGTCCGTGGGCCAGATCTGCCTGGTGGTCCCAGTCCACCAGAGTGGTGGCAGTGGGGACCCCATCCAGCCATACATAAGAGGGTAGGAGGGACAGCCTGGCTCCAACCCAGCCCCGCGGGAGCAAAGGGGGTTTGAGGCAGCCACAACACAACCCCGCAGGGAAGTGAAGGGGACTTGACCCGGTTCAGCCCAGCCCCATGGGGCGGTGTGGCCTGGCTGGATCCAGCTGGAGGGGAAGGGGTGTGGGCCAGCCCCAACCCTCTGTGCAGGGGTCAGAGTTTGGGATTTGGCAGTGGGAGAGGGTGACTGTATTAACTGCCACTGCTCCCCCACTGCCAAATTCCACGCCCCATGGGGAGCCCTGCAGGACGATACTGTGGCTCCACAGGTCAGAGGTTGAGGACCCCTCTGGGAGGTCCCTTCCAGCTCTGCTGCTCTAGGAGTCTATGATTTGGGGCTTTTTAAACAGCAGGGGAAAGTTACGATAACAGCCAAGGAAAAAGTGAAGTGCGGGGGGCTTCCACATGAGGAGAGGCTAAAGAGGCCAGGCCTGTTCAGTTTAGAAAAGACAGGGGGGTTGGGGGCACGAGAAGGGTTTACAAAATACTAAATGGTGGAGAGAAAGGCGGTTGAGATTTATTATTTACTCTAAAGACACAAGAAGCAGGGGTCACAACATGAACCGAATTGGTAGTCAGTTTAAAACTAACAAAAGGAAGTTCTTTTACACGCAGCACGTAGTTGAAGGGCAGAACTCGTTTGCACCACGTTGTGGAAGTTATCAATTTAGTCAGGTTCACAAAGGGATTGGACAAATTCTTGAAGGAAAAGGGCATCCGTAGTTCTTGAGCATGGGGGTTAGGGGTACAGCCTCTGTATCAGAACTTCCTAGACCTTAAATGTTGGAGGCTGCAAGTGAGAGAGGAATAGCAGGGGAAAAAACCCTGATCATACCCAGGTCACTCTCCCTTTCAGCATCCACTCTGCCCCTGCATGACACAGGAGCCTGGGCAACACGGGCCTGTGGTCTGACCCAATAAATGGCAATTCTTGGGTCCTTATGTTCTAAGTGGTGGGATGATGCCCTCCCCAGTTCCAGCAGCACTTAACCATAGTGACTAACAGACAGCAGTTAGTAATGTGTAGCACTTGGTGGATGGCTGTTGTTTTGGAGCCCAATTCTGCTCCTCCAGAAGTCAATGAGAAAACTCTAATTGACTTGTTGAGAAATGGATGAGACCAGGGGTCGGCAACGTTTTTGGGTAGAGTGCCAAAAACACCCGCAACCTCGACTTGTAAGATGTTGCCGTGCCAGGGGTGGATGGCAGGGGAGCCACGAAGGGCCTGATCCTTCTTGTGGCAGTGCAGCCCTGGCCCCTTCCCTGAGGCATGCGTGCCAAGGAAAATGTCTTTGGGTGCCACACTCTGACACATGTGCCAGGGGTTGTCTACCCCTGGATTAGATCTTTCACCTTCAGAAGAATTTTATAAACATTGTCTAAACCACAATCCGTGCTTGGACTTGAATGGATTGACTTCTGCCCATGTGAACCTCCTTACTAATATCAACATGGATTTCACTGAAACGCAGGGGTCCAGGTATAAAAACACAGTTGCTGGAACAAAGCCCTAATTTTGTAAATAGAATCTTTTCAAAAACAGAAGTGAGTTTCAAGCATCAAAACCTATTACATTCGAAGGCATTTTTCAAATGCCTTCTAATGAATGAGGAACTTGGCAAGGCCTAGTCTCCCCATCCTGCAAACCTCTTTGCACAATGATTATTACCAAGAAGAGTGCCATTCAAGTGAATGTGGCTGCTGGCACATTTCAAGAACACAGCTTTATGGGACTGTAAGCGAGTTTTCTGTTTGCATAGTTTAAATCAGATGGCTTCTGAGGAGTGACGCTGATGGAATTTGCAACAGGATCTGAAATCTCTTACCTCTCCACTGACAGTAAAACTAGAGTCCAGTTTGATAATGACTGGATTTTATTGCAATGTGATGGGCACTTAGTGGCTTATATGGAACAAAATGAAGGTCTCACTGCAATTTCTAATGAACACGTATCTACATTATGGCAAACAAAAAACAATAACCAAAAACCTTTTCCACTAATGGTCTCTTTTATTATGACTCTTGCCAGAAAAGCAAAAAGCCAAGTGGAACACGGAGATGCTTTTTCTCCATCAGGGTTAGGTAGGAAAGAGGCAAGTTCTGTCCTTTGTCCTGTTGTATGTTCTGTCTCAAGAGCTGTTCACCTGCCATTTTTCAAAGATATTAAATTCACACAAAACTAGACAAACTGAAGATGGTTTAGAGGAAAGCCACAGAAAATGATAAAAGGTTTGAGAAATAAGACCTAAGAGGAAAAGGTAAAAGAACTGGGTGCATTCAGCCCGTAGACAAAAATGATAACACATTACTTTCTATAAATAAATAAAGCAATATTATTAAGTGGATAGGAATCAATTATTTCTGGCAATGAGGGCAGGACAAGAGGTAATGGAATGGAAGTGCTGCAAGAAATATTTAAGTGTCAATAGCAGAGACAATTATTTGGGGCTGGAACCAGGAGATTTATCCTTCCCTAAGCTACCAAACTCGATGGAGGGGAGTGTTTCTACTGCTGTTCTGTTGGGGTACTTTTCTAGGAAAGGGAATATTTAGCTTGTAGCTAAGGCTCCACTAGCACTGTAGGAGGGAGGTCAAACTCACGGTCCCACAAGTGGTGCAGGGTCAGTCCAGATCAGACTGGACTCACAGACACATGCACCCTCTCATCAGATCCAGCCCAGTAGCACCCACTCCAGCTGGTGTGAGACCGTGGCACTCGGCGCATGTTGGGTCCAGTTCAGTGCCTGCTTCAGCCAATCCAGGGCCTGTGCTGCATGCAGCACCTGCCTCAAACCAGCTGGGGCAGGCATTGCTTGCAGTGCACATGCGGAGCGTGCAACAGTCCTGGACTGGCCAAAGCGGGCACGAGCTGGTCCAGCACACATGCTGCATACAGCGTGGGTCATACTGACACCCAGGGGCAGCACCACGGGCTGGATGATGGGACTCAGCAGACCAGATGTGGCATGCAAACTCTATCTTTGACACCCCTGCACTACAATAGTTCAGGCTAATGCAAACCTTTGCTGATCCATACAACCCTCACCTACTTCGGCTACACTCCCTTCCCAGACAACACTACCCACTCGGAGTACATTAGCTGAAATTGCAAGGGAAGTTTGCACAGTTGATATTTCTTCTATATCAAGACTTGTGCTGGCAGAAAACTTTGTATTCTCTAAAAAATTTTCTATAAAAGCAGGCAATGGAGCAAGCAAGGAAAGCTGTAGTGTTACCACCAGTGAAAATATGTACAGTTAAACTTAGCTACTTATTAGCAAGGTTTTAGGAACGAAAAATTCAGTATTAACAGGAAAAAGGGATAACAAATTCTTCCCAACCATAGTGATGCTGAGTCACCCAGGCTAAGTACAGTCAAAAAGCCTGAGGCTGAATCAATTCAGTCTTTGCAGGTTAGTCGAAGCTGAATAGATTGAACAGAGAAGCAAGCAAACACACACTTACTTCTGATTCTGGAAATGCAGCCACATGCCTGTGGTGGCCCAAGCCAGAAGCTGGGGGACACCAGAGCACACCCCCCTGCTTGACTAGAACAGATACCAGGTGCGGGGTGGGGGAGAGGTGCAAAGCATTCTGGGTTGCCAGGGGACTGCGAGTTAACTTGAATTTGGAGGGGATCTGAGACAGAAGTTCAATATACCAATCTAGCCTAAATCAGTTAAGTTTGATATTACAGCCATCCAGGTTTATCTGAAATCAGTTTTGGCCATTTTCAAAGCAGTTTATGTGCACTAAACTTCTGTTGTGTTAGTTATGA